CTTCTAATCATGTGGTTATTAAATAATTAAAAAAAAAAACTAAGCAAAATGAACAGCTCAGTATTAAGTTTCATTTAAAGACTCAAAAATTATTGTCTATATATCAGCCTTTCACATTTAACTAAAATGACACAAGTAGGCTAGGAGAAGTGGCTCGGTGATTAAAAAGCACCTGCTGCTCTTGCGGAGAAACAGGCTTCAGTCCCAGGACCCACATGATGGCTAACAACCATTCATACCTCGAGTTCCAAGATATCCAATGCAGTCTTCTGGCCTCTTATGTGGTACACTTAAATACATGCAGGCAAAACACCCAACCACATAAACTACAAGTAACAGTGGGGTATTTTCTGTGCCACTTTTACTTAGCATGTTACGTGTATCAATTTCGGTATAAGAGAGCCTCACACCACCAATGAGAGGGTCCCCTGCTGTCCTCATCTTATCATCCAGGCGGGGATGTGAAGTAACATGGCCAGGATCACAGCTGGTCAAGGACGGTTTATTCTAGTCTGACTCCTGAACTCAACATTCTGAGGAACAATAGCCAAAACAGGATTAATATGTACATGCCATCCCTGCCTTGTATTTTGTTAAGGAGTAGCTTCTCTTTACGCCAACCTCGATTTACTATGTATGTACTGATCTGCAGGGCTAGCTAGGCAGCCAAAAACTAAAATTAAAAATGGAAAGGTAGCATAGAATACTCACTTCCCCGCTGGTGGGTCCTTTTTCTTTCTGTTGACAGCGCCTAACCACTTCTAGTAACAAGGGTCCACCCACAGTGCCTTCTGCTTCGATGATACCTAAATCTCGGGCTAAATTTTCTCGACCTTCGAGACCTTGGAACTAGAAAAGACAATTTAGGTGCAAAAAACTATAGCAAAAATCAATCAGATACTAAAAGGAATATTTTAGGAGCTTAAAAAGACACCTCTAAATTCAGAGGTTAAATATCTAGTGAATGAGACAACCATTTTTAAACTTGGTCAGTTTTTTACAATCTACATTCAAGGCCTGTATTAACAACCTGCAGTATAACATCTTAACAGAATTAACTCTATAATAGCATCCCTCTATAGCAGGTTCCAAGTTAAACAAAGCAGAAATACTGTTCTGATAGCTCAGATGACTTTTAGGAAAATGAATCATCAAATTACAAAAACCAATCCAGACATAAGCAGCTACAAACAGTCTCTGCGAGCCTTCAACTTAACATTCATTCTGCATCACAGGTGCATAGGGTAGATGTAAAATCAGTATTCTTACTGTGCTAGTTTCAGGATGGAAAACAGCCAAGGTAAAGTCAAGGTTAAAAAACTGAAGAAATTCTGCAACAAGACTAGCCACTAAACGACCTATAAAGATCAAGAAAAAGATGTTAGCAAAGGCCAAAGAGCTCAGAATTTTTGTTATTAGCATTGTGACATAAGAAACACTGAATTAATGAGAAGAAAGGGTTCTAAACTTCTTAAATCACGCATTTCTTCTCTGAATGATTCAACCAGGTAATGAAAGCCCCAACTTTACCCTTTTCATTAGGTTAATTAGTCTGCAACTGTACGACAGTGCAATCACATTCCATAAACAGATTTCAGCCCCTCACTTTCCCTACTCAACTGGCTTTAACCAACAACTTCCCATTACTCAGAATATCTAACAGGCAACTAGAAATTGGGGGATGATGTCTACGCCTGCAGTCCCAGCATTAGGCAGAGGAGCCCTGCAGGTTAGAGGCTAGCATGGGCTAGAGTGAGAACTAAGCTCAAAAAAAAGCCACACAAAAAAAGTTATAATTGCCAATCTTAGAGTATTACTACAATGACAGCAATCTGTGGTACTGTGAAATGTCATTTTAAAGCAAGGATCTGTAAGAATCACTTTTTTAAAAAATGGAAATTCCTTACTTCTTCCAAATATTGACAAAATTTGAAAATTCAGAAGCAGAAGAAATAAAAAAGAGCAAGTATAGCATCTTACCATCTTTTGTAATTAAAAACTTTTTCAAGCTCTCATTGACCAAAGGAGCTTTGTTCTGTTGGGAAACAAAAAAAAGGGAAACATTTTATATAACATGTACTTATGCTAAAATAACTACATAATATACTTTAAAATTTGTTTTCAGTGGGTGAAGAAGTGAAAGTGAGCCCAAGCTGAGTGAAAGTTTATAAAAATTTTTTTGATTTATTTTTATTTTATGTGTAGAGTGTTATGCCTGTATGTATGTAAGTGTATCCATGTTGTGCAATGCCTGAAGAGGTCAGAAGAGGGTATCAGATCCCCTGGAACTGGAGTTACAGACAACTGTTAGCTGCCACGTGGGTGCTGAGATTCTACCTGCAAGAACACACTGTTCTTAAACTCTGAGCCATCTCTCCAGCCCCAAGAGCCACATTTTTATCTTTGGCAAAAATAGATAGCATACCCTGTCATTTATAAATCATGGTTTATGAAATCCATTTCACAACTGTTTACTTAGTACAGGGCTTGCTCTGCTTTGTACTATTTAGTAACTTTTCTTTATTTGTTTTAATTTTAACTGTATGGGTTATGAGGGTTTTGCCTGCATGTATATAAGTTCATCCAGGTGTACAATGCCTGTGGAGGTCAGTAGACAGCACTGGATCCCCTGGAGCTGGAGTTAAGGATGGTTGTTAGCTGCCACATGGATGCTGGGAACCAAACTTGGAGCCTCTGCAAGAAAGCCAGTGCTCTTAGACCACTAAGTAAACTCTCTAGTCCCTATTACCTAATAATCGTTCAAAGTCAATGAAACAAAACCATACTTGAAGACATTTATTTTCAATTTTTTTTTCACACTGCCAGGGATTGAGCCTGAGACCCGGACAGGGTAGGCGAGCACTCCATCACTTGCCAGCCCTCAAAACATGTTGTAACTTGACTGCTTTTGAAACCATTTGTCTGCACATACTTGTATGACATTAACTTCACTTAAAACTGTTTTACTATTTAAGTACATACGGTTTTATCATCTCGGCTATCTACTATTCATGACATACATACCTGCAATTCCCAGTTAGTCAGTACTATATGAGATGTGTGTATGTGGCCCTAGGCCAATGTTTTAATTATAGATTTGAACATACCCAGAAGAGCCTTCCTGCATCTCAGCCCATGACCATTCTGAGAACGATGCTAGCACAGGGAGCACAGATGGGCTTCCTTAAGCAGACCACAGCGGACATGAAGTGGTGCAGCCTGACACCGCCCATGGAAATGCCAAATGGCATGACCATCTGGAGAGCAGTTTGCACATCTCCCCAGCACTAAGCTAGTAACCCCACCCCGGGCATTTTCTCCAGATAAACTACGGATCCAAGCAAAGATCCGGACATGGCCATTTACAGCAGCCCTATCCACAACTAAAGATCCGGACATGGCCATTTACAGCAGCCCTATCCACAACTAAAGATCCGGACATGGCCATTTACGGCAGCCCTATCCACAACTAAAGATCCGGACATGGCCATTTGCGGCAGCCCTACCCACAACTAAAGAACAGGAATCCAAACGTGCATCAACAGGTAAATGACTGAAAAACTACTGCAAATCTCAGTCAGCGATTAGGGGAAGGATCTAGTAATCCTGAACTCGGGATCACATGATGTAACAGCATCCTACTGCATGATGACTATGAACTCCAAATACATTACACTGAATAAAACACACCAAAAGTCTATTATAAAGTACATTCTACACGTTTCCATCGTACAGCTTTTAAAAATGATCAAGGTGCTGGGGAGGGGCCGTTTATAAAAATAGAAAACCATCCTGTGTACACACCATCTAATCTCTCTCTCTTCCTTTCTTTCTTCACCTCTGTTATCCAGTGAAGTTCAAACTTCACAGAAATGTTTTGGGACTGACTGATTAAAGTACATTTTAAAGTCCAGAGAGTGCCAATATCCTCTGGAACCTGGCCCCTTACCTGAAGGGACCTGGTGAACATAGTACAGGCCTTGTCCTTCATAAAAAGTCAATTCCTATATTGAGAATGTCCATAAATACTAATGATTTAACAAGACAGATCTGTGCCCTGCAGGCACGACAGAATAAACCACAAGCGCAGGAGCTGTTTTTTTGTATGAATACCACCCTCAGTATTTCTCCACATCTGCCCACAAACTTCATTATTACTTACTTTTAGTCTTTTCTTTACATGTTCTCTATACATAAGTAAATTTATTTAATAAAAATACTTCATCACATTCTAAATATGAATTTGGGGTAATGGTGAAAAATTATAGCAAGAAATAAATGACTATTATTTTTTAAAGACTTAAAAAAAAAAGGAAACCTTTAAGGGCTGTGGTTAAGCTCACTTTCATGATTGTGGTAACTGTTACACAGTTCCAAAGTGTTTATCAATCTTTACATCTTAAAGTATGAGTTTACTGAAACATTTGCCTCTCAAGTAAATAGTTAAAGAGAGGAGAAAAATCACAAGGGTTCACGGTAGGCTAGACTAGGGAATTTTAAGACACTTGTGTCACCTGAAACAGCCAAAGGAAATGGAGGGACAAAATCAGTTATGTACTGCAGATGGCCAATCCAGGGGCAATGCAGGATGACTTGGGGAATGATGAGGGTACCAGCAAAGGAGAGGATAGGAAGTGTCACTCAGGAAGTGTTACAGGAAGCTGTAACTCAGCTCAGGCAAAGCAAGCAGCAGGGCCCAGCCCCCAGACACCACAGGTGACAAAGATGGTGAGGGGGAGTAGCCTGGGAAACCTGGTGAAGCCTGATCATCCCAGAAAGTTCAGTCTATTAGGCAGCTTAACATACACGCCCAATGTTCAGGAGGAAGATGCACACTAAAGATAAGGGCTGAAGTTAATGGTGCTGTTACAGTGGAGATAATGCAGAATAAGAACTAAGGGACAGGACACCAACAGTCTAAGCGCATGTGCAGGAAAAGGATCCCGCTAGAGGACAAGGAGGGGAAGGAATGCCAGATGCTTTGATGACCAGGCAAGGCAGGCAAGAGGTGAAGCAGACCCAACTGAGCAAGAGACAGTCCTCAGGGGTAGCGGTGGTGCATTCTAATTTTTACTGGAGTAAGGGATATCTGGTAAAAAGAAACAATGTAAGATACACGTTTCCAAAACTTAGCTGTTAAAAAAAGCAGAAAGAAATTGTGAGCAAAAGAAAGCTATTTTCTCTTTAGAGAAATTTAAACATCTTCATGCTCAAAAGAGACAAGAGAAAGGAAGTCAAAGACACAGCAATTAACTATGGAGATGTGCATAGACGGGTGTGGTGATTTGAATGGAAATGTCCCCCATAGACTCCAAGTGTTTGGACATTTTGTCCCCAGATGATGGTGCTGTTTTAGAACGTGTGGCTATCCTGGAGGAAGCAAGTCACTTGGGCTTAGAGAGTTCTCAAGCCTTCCTTGCCAGATCTCCAGTCGCTCTCTTGCTTCCTGTGCCTGTGTGATGATGTGAGAGCTTAGCTTCTGCTGCTCCTGCTCCAGCCACCTCCAGCCACCATGCCTCCCCGCCATGATGGACTGTAATTCCCCTGGAACGGTAAGCGCAAATAAACTCTTCTTTCTGTAAGTTACTCAGGTCAGTGTTTCTGTCACAGCAACAGAAAAGTGACTAGTACAAGGGGACACAAGGCCCAAGGTAGTGCATGTAGTGATGCAGAGCCTCTCCTACGGCTGTCAGAAAGAGGTGCAGATGCACACAACACAGCCAAGCTCTGCCTGAAGTGACACCAGGACACAAAATTAGGACCTGGTAAGCTGTACTGTTGAGAGGAAACAGCAAAGCCACAGGGCCAGAGGGAAGGAAACAAGACAGACCTTCAGGGTCTGCGCAGGTTAGGAACCACCACAGTCAGTCAAGTGATTAAAGGACTTTTCTTTGGCAATAGATATGCAGACAGGAAGGAGTCAGTATGCCCATCAAATGACCTTTACGGCTGACTAGAAAGCAAGGTAATTTGGGTTTCTGAGGTTGGGACGATGGAATCTGGCCTAGTCACCAAGCAATAAAAATGACAGACATGTATGTAGACCAAAGAGCAAAAACTTGAAGGGTTGAGGAAATTAAATCACACGTATGAAGCCTACAGAAGTGGAGGGCAGGAGTCGGATGTGTCACTCAGGAAGAGTTTTAGACCTTGACTATGATGTGCTTCTGTTGACAAGTTACAGGATGTTTACTCAGGATGGTTGCTGGGAGTTGGGAGCTTCAGAAAGAGCCAAAATAACGAACTCAAGTGGCTGGAGAGATGATCAGGGGTTAAAAGCACTTGCAGAGGACCTGGGTTCGATTCCTACCACCCACATGGCAGCAACTCCAGTTCCAGGGGATCTGATGCCCTCTTCTGACCTCCACGGGCATTGCAGGACAGGGGTGCACTTACATACATGCAGGCAATGCACTCAATACATAAAATTAAAACATGGGGCTGGAGAGATGGTTAGCGGTTAAGAACACTTGCAGAGGACCCGAGTTTGATTCCCAGCACCTATATAGCGGCTAACAACCATCTCTAACTCCAGTTCCAGGGTATCTAACACCCTCTTCTGAGCTCCACAGGCAATGCACGATACGGGTGCACTTACATGCATGCAGGCAATACACTCATACACATAAAATTAAAGTATTTTTTTTAAAAATACAGAAAAGCAGCAGGAATGAAGCCATGCTGACCAGGTCAGAACTATTCTGGCTCGTCAGTAACGCCCATTTCAAGTGGTTTTGGCCAACCAGACAAGACAACCCGACATGAAATCTCGGCGTGCCAAGGTCGGGGGAACCTACCTCTACTTTTTCCTGCTCCTCTAGTGCCAAAAACACCGCCGCTCTGAGCTCAGCCTTCAAAGAGAGCAAGAGTGCTTCAGTTGCATGCCGGGAGGTGGGCGCCGCCGGAAGTCCAGCAGCCCCCGACCCCCGCTCCGCCATCACCCCCGCCCCCGCCGCACCTTGATGCGGTTCAGGACGCCGCTGTTCTCCAACGTCTGCACCAGCAGGTCCCGAAGCTCCGTGTCCTCCTCGGCCACCACCGCGGCCGTCGCCGCCGCCATCTTGCTTCTCCAAGACAACCGCCCAAGCCGCGCCGACGTCTGACAGCAGCCCCGGAAGCCGCACGGCGCGCGAAGGCCGCAGCTCCGCCCCTCACGCCGGGAGCCGCCAGGCCTGAGGGGAGCCCGAGGGGCTGAGCCGCGAGCGCATAGTGCCTCGGGGCTGGCCGGCCCGCCCGCCCAGGCCGCCCACCCAAGCCGAGACCAGCGACACAGGGGCGGGACCTCCGGGCTTCAGGGGTTGCGCCTCTAGGCTTCAGGCACAGGGGACGGGGCCTCTGACGTCATGACGCAGGGGCGGGGCCTATTGAAGGCGGGGCAACCAGACCTTGGAGTAACAGCGGGAACCGACCCGCCCCGCCTGAGGGGCGGGGCATCGGGGCGGAAGCTTTGTGTGGGCTGTGCGTCCCCGAGTGGGCGGGCCAGACGTTCGGGGTGGGCCGGACGGACTGTGGTGCTGAGGGCCAGTCTAAGAGTGCTGGGACGGTCAGAGCACCCTGGTGTTCAGAGGAGCATGGAGAGGCTGCTTCTACCTGTGGGTCTGAGTGCCTGTGTGTCCCTGTGTATCTGTGTCTGTATATCAATGTGTGCATATGTGTTTGTGTATATCTGTGTCTGTGTTGTGTCTGTACATCGGTGTCTAGATGTGTTTCTTTGTATATCAAGTGTGTGTGTGTGTGTGTGTGTGTGTCTGTACATCAGTGTCTGGCTGTGTGTGTGTCTGTGTCTGGCTGTGTATCAAGTGTGTGTGTGTGTGTGTGTGTGTGTACATCAGTGTCTGGCTGTGTTATCAGTGTGTGCATGTGTGTGTCTGTATATATGTCTGCATGTCTCTGTATCTGCATGTGTACAAGTCTCTGTGTGCACACGGACCTCGAGTTTGCTTTGCTGGGGAGGTGTGCTGTCTGTGGTACTGTTTATTTGTGCCTGTGGGTCCTTTTGAAAGAACAAGAGAGGAGAGCCACACTGCCACTTGCACAGGAAACTGTCACAAAGTGGTGACTGGGAACATCCCAGAGAGTCTGCCCACAGGTCTGCAGTGGGGCTTAGACTGATGTCTCCTGTGCAGGTGGCCTGCACACTATGAATGGAGATGCACCATATGAGTAAAGTTGAATACCTTCCATGCTGGCATTGCTGAGTTTATGGGAGAAACTGGGCTTGAGTTTGGTGGGGGGTTTTTTCCTGTTCTGCATCATCAAAGAAAGGACTCATCGGGAAGTTTTTGGGTTTTTTTTGCTATTGGCCTTAAGGAGAACAGTTAAACATAGATGTGTGAAGGGTCACTCAACACAGAGGACATGGGTAAGAGGGGCAGAGAGTGCTGCCTCTGGCAGTCTGTTTAGAATCCAGGTACATGAAACGGAGTCCGTAACTCTGAACACACAAAGAGGAGTCCGTGGATGTGAAGACTTCAGACCACAGGAAGAAAAAGGAGAGACCTCTCTGCACTTAGCTCAGCCCACTCACTACTGGGTAGGGAGCTTGGGGTTGGTGTGGTTGGCAGAAGGAAGCAGGACTTGGGAGGAGCTGGCACAGTGTAGATGACACATTACTGTGGGTAACAGAGGGCTTGAGGTATCAGCTGATACCCAGATTTGGATATCCAGAAGGCAGCTTGAATTCCATTTAACCAACTTTCAAACAGAGTACCTACTGTCATCACCCTAAAGTAGGTGGTGAGGAGACAATCAAAATCTGTTTCCCATAGCCAGGCAGCTGACGGTTCAGGGACTGATAAGAACCCTTACAGCAGTCTGAATTCTCAGGGTGAGCTTGGGAGGGGAGCACTAGAGAATCAGGAAGGGGCTAGGGGGCGCCTGGTTCTGAAGCTGTAACCTCCAATGTAACTCCATTTGAAGATAGACCTTGCATGGGATGATAAAGGTGCGTGAGGTCATAATCAATGTGCCAGTGTCCTGAACTCTCCCCACACTGTAATCCACCCAAGGGGCTCTCAGCAGGAATTGAAAACATTGACACATCATCTTGAACTTCCCCCAGAGGTGTCAGACCAGTTTCTGTTGTTGAAGACACTTGGTCTATGGTACTTTGTTGTGGCCCCTGAAGCTTGCTAAAGATGCTGAGCAGCTCTTGTGCTGGGAGGCTCGCCTGGGTGGGGAAGAAAAAGAACTTGACGGAGAGAGGGCAGAATCAGGGCAAAGGCGGGTTCCTCTGTACTGGGGAGAAACAAGGGGTGTGTGATCTTCTGGGGATGGGGACGTGACTACACTGAAGGTTTTGAACACCGCAGACTTAACTTTCATCCTGAAGACGTGAAGCACCAACCATTCAGATTTAGAAAGGGCACCCCAGAACCAAGGGCGAGTGCACTAGGGGTATTCATGCAGAAGAAAGGACTTTATTCCAGTGGCTCAGAAAGGTTAAGGGCCTCCAGGTGGGATATGGTGGTGCATGCCTTTAACCCCAGAAACTGGGAGACAGAGGCAGGCAGATCTCTGTGAGTTCAAGGCCACATAGTTCCAGGCCAGCCAGGACTAGAAAGTGAGACCATGTTTCCAAAAATAAAAAAAATAAAGGACTTCAGGTTACAGGGTGAGCCTGGGAAGACAGATTTGAGGAAATTGATATTGTATGAGGGCTGTCCAAGAAACAGCACCAATCCAATGTGTATTGATACCCATGAACACACACTACACATACACACTCACATAAGAGCACTTACTACAAAGAATTGGTTCACAGGGCCATGGAAACTGACAAGTTCGCAGGTCTGGAGGGTAAGTTGGAAGCTAGAGGCCTAGGAAAACTGTGCTAGGCCAGCAGGCTTGACACCTAAGGAGAGAGTGTTTGAATCTGAGTCTTTGGGGGGGGGACTGATGTCATAATGTAAAGGGAAGAAGCAGGAAAGACTCTCATTAGAGTAAGTTATTTTAAAAATGGGGGGGGGGGTAAGAAAGATGGCTTAGCAGTTAAGAGCCTGTACTATTCTTGCAGAGAACCCGAGTTAAGTTCCTACCCCATACCAAGATAAAAACAACCACACAAAAAATGGGGGGGGGGTAAGAAAGATATGGCTTAGCTTAAGAGCCTGTACTATTCTTGTAGAGAACCCGAGTTCAGTTCCTACCCCATACACAGATACAGACACACACACATACACACACACACACACACACACACACACACGTAATTAAAAATGAAAAGATTTGGCCAGGTGCATGCCTTTAATCCCAGCATTCAGGAGGGAGAGGCAGGCAGATTTCTGTGAGATTAAAGCCAGCCGGGTCTATATAGTTCCTGGCCATGTGGGGCTACAGGGAGACCCTGTCTCAATTTTATTTTTAAATTGGGCCTTTAAAGAATTAAGTCCTACCTGCTTTGTACTTAGGCTACCAAAATTTAAACAAATTTCACAGACTGGGCAACCATGGCCCAGTCAAACATATATAAAACTATCACAAAGCTGGGCTTGGTACTGCATTCCTGTAATCCAGTGGAGGGTAGGAAGATCAGAAGCTCAAGCCCATCCTTGGTTACGTAGTAGATTTGAAGCCAGCCTGGGGTACATGAGACCTGTCTCTAAAAAAAAATCATAAATTATTAGAGTCATTAAGTAAATAGATTCCTATAAGAATAAACTCACAAGGATCAAACAGGGAAAATGTCTTCTGAGTCCATTTGCATTTTCCTGAGCTAGAGCATTATTGTTTCTTTCCTGTAAAAATGTGTCTGAAATCATGAAGATGGTCTTTCAGTTTGGACATGGGAATATTAGTGCTTTCTCAGTAAGAGCTGCCATATTGTTCTGGTGAGGGTTCGGCAGGTAAAATGCGGTTCTCTTGGGCTCCATAAATGTTGATAGGTTGGACATACTTACTGGGAAAGGAGGTGACTCCATTCTTCCCATTAGAATATTCATCAGAGCCTACTGACATTGTTTAATTTGCTATTTTCGTATGGATTTGCCACCATGTTGTGAATAGTGGTTAAAAGCATGGACTTCAGGTCGCACTGCGTGTTTCAATCCACTGGCTAGTTACGTCGACCATAGCAAGTTACTCAGCCTCTGTGCCTCGGTTTTCACTTGTAAATGGTAACGAAGCTCAGCATGTGCGTGTGAATCTACAGGAATGTGTGCTGTGTGCTGGTATTTACTGCCTGGAACACACACAGCAAACTAGTAACGGTTATTCAGTGCATGCAGCCTAGTTTCATTTTCTTTGAAAATTTCTTTGATGTCGTAAGCAAACTGCTTTTGTTTTTTGTTTCCTTACTAATTTCATGTCCCATAGGAGACCTGGAGCCTAGAAAAGTTAAGGGGCATGTCCACCATTGGTGCAGCTGAGAGCAGCCACATGTCTATTTGGATTCTTGTTCTTGCTCTTCCCTCGATATTTTACTTTCTCCCAATATTTATAGAATGGAATCATCTTAGTTGGTTTTCTGTGGCTGTAACTGAGTACTGCCACCTGGACAATTTATAAAGAATAGGATTTATAAAGCTGGAGAGATGACTCAGAAGTTAAGAGCACTTGCTGCTCTGGCAGAGAACCCGGTTCAGTACCCAGCACCCACATGGTGGCTAACAACTGTTCGGCCTCTCTGGGCTCCAGGCATGCACATGATGCACATGCATACATGTAGACAAAACATACACATAAAATCAATTTTTAAGAATACATTTTAATAAAAGAATAGGAATTATTTATCTCATGGTTCTGGAAGCTAGCAAGACCAGTACCAAGTTGGGGCTCCTGGCGAGGGCCTCCAGCTGTGCCCTAACATGGTTCTGACAGTAAGTGTACTGTCCAGGCTTCTTCTCAAGGCCACTGGTCCTGCCACAGGGCCCACCTCACTTCTTCATCTGATCCTAGCTACCTCCTAAAGGAAATTGAGGCTTCAGGTTTTGACACAAGTTTATGACCATATCAGCAATTTGAATAAATAAAGTAGAATTAGAAAAGAAAAAGAATGTTGAATGAAGGAAATGTGGGATACAAGAGACAAATACAGGTCACCTTCCCAAGACAAGCTCATAGCTGTAGCCACCAGGGGGCAGTGAGTGTGCGCTGCTCACTCACAGCAGGACCGTACTGGAGAGGGAATTTTCATACCCTCCTGGAAGATGTGATAGCCAGAGCATGCCACTCCTTCCCTCCCCTAAGCCCCCCCAAACCCCACTTTGGCATAAGGACTGTTTTAAGCTGACAGCAACTGACTAGAAGCAGGTGTGTATTTTAAAAGGCTCTGGACATACTTACTGGGAAAGGAGGTGACTCCATTCTTCCCATTAGAA